ACGGGGGGGGGGTCACCATGGGGTGGGGGAGGTTTGGCAGGGAGCGGCCCCCAAATCACACTCTCCCCCCCAGCAGCCTCACCCACCGCTAGTCCCACCCCACCGCCCCACAGCACTGCAGCTCCCTCAGGTCTCCCCCCATCCTGACTGGGCTGTTCACTCTGGGCCCTAGTGATGGCTGCTGGGGGAGAGGCCAGCCAGCAGCACCGGGGGAGCCACACGTTGCTCCTGGGTGGGTGCTGGTGCTGCAGCAACACCGAGGGAGAGGCTGGGGAGGGCAAATCCCCACGGGACGTAGCCCCAAGCCAGCACCAGGGGAAACTGAGGCACGGGGCAGGAGACTGCGGGCAGCAGTGCTGAGCCCTCTCCCATCTCCTGCCGTGTCAACCAGCAGAGCTGGGGGGAGGAAAGCTGCTGCCATAGCCGGGGGGGGCCATGGCCACTCACGCCGGCGCCAGCAGCTCCGCCAGACCCAAGCATCCTCCAGCCTCTGCGCCTGCGCCCGCACCACTGCCGGTAACACCGTGCCCTGTTACCATCAGTGCTCGGGCACAGAGCCAGGGCTCTCCTGCAGCCGCGTCAGCCCCGGGGGGCACCCGGCCTGCAGGGATGCCCCCCCACCCCCCCAATAAGACCGGCCCTGCTGCCCGGGGGTCGTTCCCATGCGCTGAGGCCATGGGCAGGGAGTCGCTGCGGCGCCGTGCCAACCTGTGGGGCCGGGGTGCTGCTGATCCATAATTCAATGGGTGGCATCGGTCCAGGCTGCCAGCACGGCCAGGAGCCCAGGCAGCCCCCTCGCTGCCCTGGGCACACACTTTGCTATTTTTAAAAGCGATCGGATCGACCTGTTCACTCACCAAGTGCTCTCCCCCTCTGCACCGGGGGGAGCCTTGGCACTGAACCCCCACAAACACCGGGCTCCCCGCAACGTGGCAGCAGGGTCCCCCCCCAACCTCCATCCCCATCCCAGCCCTGGGGGGTGCGGAGGGTGCAGGATGCCCCCCATCAGTGTGGCTGGAGGGCACGGCGGGGGCGCTCCCCAGGCTTCTTTCTCCTTCCCAGCGTGGCCAAGCCCCTTGTTGGGTGCTGAATTTTGGTGTGTGTGTCCCCCCAAAAAAACCCATCCCTTGGTGGGGAGGGAGGCCGCGGCAGGAGCCTGGTGATGCCTTCGCCATTTTAGCGCGCGCGGGCCGGCCGCAGGCAGCTGTCACATGGCGGTGAGAGCAGTTTGGCCCCGGCTGCACCGCGCCGGAGGCGGCAGCCAGAAATCTGCTGGCGAGCTCGCCCGGCTGTGAGGATGGCTGCCAGCTTGAGGGGGGACACACGCACACCCCCCGAGCCCACGGTCCCCCCTGTCCTCACGCCTCGTGTCAGCAGGGACACGGGGTGCCGGGAGGGGACAGTCCTGCTGCCAAACCTCGGAGCGCAGGAAGGGCCCCCATGCTCCTTGGGGTGCCGTGGCTGGGGCTGGGGTCGGGGGAGACACCCCCCCCTCCACCAGGAGCATGGGGAGGGGGGCACTGGCAGTGCTGGGGGACACTGGTGAGAGGGTGGGGGGGCACAGGGGACACGCAGTGAGGGTGGTGGGTACCCAGGGCAAGCGAGTGGCCTTGCCAGCTGCCCTGGGGGCAACAGGGGCTGGGCTGGTGTGGCTCTGGGGGGAAGGAAAGGGCTGTGTCCAGTGTCCCAGGGGAGCAATGGTCGATGTGGAGCATCTGGGGGTGAGGAAGGGTCCACGTGGGGCGTCTCTGGGCGAGCAGGGGCCATGTGGGCCATCTTGAGGTGAGCAGGGGCCACGTGGGGCATCTCAGGGTGAGCGGGGGCCATGTGAGCCATCTCGGGGAGAGCAGGGGCCATGTGGGGCATTCTGTGTTGAGCAGGGACCATGTGGGCCATCTCAGGGCAAGCAGGGACCATGTGGGCCATCTTGAGGCGATCAGGGGCCATGTGGGCCATCTTGGGGCCATCAGGGACCATGCGGGCCATCTGAGGGCGAGCAATGGTGGGAGGCCGTGCGGGCCGAGCCCAGGGCTGTGCCGGGCACCTTGGAGGCCACCGAGTGAGGGCATGGCCCGGGCTGAGGGGGGGGGTTCCTAACGGCCAAGCACCCCCTGGAGTGGGCAACTGGGTGCCATGTTGGGGGCGAGCGGGGTCTGGGGAGGCCTGAGGCGACGGCGGGGGGGAGCGTGGGGGAGCCGGGCCGGCCTCGGGGCTGCAACCGCGAGACACCGCCCCGTGCCTTGGCCGGGCTCCATCGCTAACCACTTCCAGAGCCGCTGCGAGATTTGTTGTTTTAAGAGGCGAGGAGGGGCCGTGTCCGGCCGCGCGGTGCCCGCGGGCGCCCGGGGGGTCCCCGCTGCCGCTCGCCCCCTGCCCTGCCTCCCATGTGCCCCCCTCGCTCCCACTGCCCCCACCCCCTTCCGCAGGCTCGGGCATGCGGCAGCTTTCAAAATGAGGGGAAAAAAAAAAAAAAGGGGAAAAAAAGAAACCCAGAAAAATGGAGAGATGGGGGGGAAAACCCCCCGCGCCCGTCGCCGGGAGAATTTCTGCTCCCTAAAATGGCTGCCTGGAGGAAGCCAAGCGTGCGGGCAAGAGCGCGGGCAAGCGCACGGGCATGGGGCTGGCTGGCGGCGGGATGCAGCGTCAGGGCGGGATGCCACGGGGCCACCGGCATGGAAGGGCTGCCAGGCCGGCGCGGGGAAAGGGTGGGGAAGAAAGACGGCAATTGGGGAGGGAGACAAAATGGCTGCGTTTGGCATCGACGTCAAGCGGCCCCGGGGGTGGCGCGGGAGGCGCACGGGGGTGTCGGGGTGGGGGGTGGCATGGTCCCACTGCCTGCATGGCTTGGCCTGGCCAGCCAAAAATAACCACCCCGGGAGCCACGTGTGCGTGAGGGGCTGGGGGGGGCAGAATGAGGGGAGGAGGAAAAGGGGGGGAAAAAAGGAAAGAAAGGGCAAAAAAGCCCCAGCCCCAGCAGGCTGGCTGGCAGCCGCACCACTCTGTTTTGACGGTGTTGTTTGGATTGTCGCGGCCCTTTCCCGGCATCAGCCAAAGCTGTGAAAAAGAAACGCCGAAGGCCAAGGGGTGGGAGGAGGAGGAGGAGGATGGAGGAGCGGGAGGAAGGATGAGGAGCAGGGAGGGGAAATACACGGCGAAAGTTTTGGAAGGGCTTTGGGACATGCCGGGCCGAAGCTGTGCTGGGGAGGAAGGATGCTCCCCAGTGTGGCTCAGGCCAGAGCGGGGGTGTGCCGTGCCGTGCCATGCCGGGGAGTGCCGGTGCCATGCGGTGCCGTGCCGGGGAGTGCCAGCGCCGCTGAGCTCAGTGTCTGAGCTGGGTTATTTTCAGCAAAGATGAAGCAGGGACGGTGGGGGTGCTGGGCATCAAAAGGGATCGCTGGGGGTTTCCCTCCTTGGGGGAGCAGTGCCTGTATCCTGCATGGGGTATCCCCATTGCTGTCACCGGCAGGGGGGTCGCGGGGAGGGATGCTCGGTCTCCCTGGCTCGTACTGGTGTGCGTGGCTCACCCCGCTGGTTTTTCCTCCCGCAGATGCAGAGCAGAGCAGCAGCCCCCGGACGGGCATCGGCTCAGACCAGGAGGACAGCAAACCCATCACGCTGGGTGAGTGGGGTGGGCAGGGCTCGGGCAAGGGGTCGCGGGACACCTGAGCATGTCCCCGAGCTCCCTGCAGTGGAGGGGACCCCCTTGATGTGCGGTCGTGCCCCCCAGCCAACTGCTGCTGGGCACCTGCAATGAGCTGGGTATGGCCCCAGCCTCACCCCACAGCTGGCAGAGCCCTGCTGGGGCCGTGGCCCTTGGGGACAGCAGCTGCCAAGGGGGTCCCAGGGTGGGGGTGCAGCCCCCAGCCCTGCCAGCGCTCTCACACGCAGGGACACTGAGGCACGGAGCAGCCCCCCGGTGTCCTCGGCAGAGGGAACTGGTTGGGGTGGACCCTTGCTGGGGGAGGGAAGTGGAGCGAAGCTGACTGGTTTGGGGGGGAACAGGAGGCGTTATGGGGTGTTTGGGGGTGTTGGGGTGCCCTCAAGCATCGCCACAAGACGGTGCAGGGCAGCAGGGGTGGTCCTGTGTTGTCCACCCCCCCAGCGCTTCCTCCTCTCTCCCGCACAGATTCAACAGACTTCCAGGAAAGCTTTGTCACTTCGGGGGTGTTCAGCGTCACCGAGCTCATCCAGGTGTCCCGAAGTGAGTGCCACCATGATGCCACCACCCCTCCCTCCCCACTCCCAGTTGCCCAGGCACAGCAGTGTCCTGATGGCTCCCACATCCCGGTTGCGGGCTGGGGCTCCCTGCAATGCCGGGCCCCCCCCTGACCTCCCTCTCTCCCCGCAGCGCCGGTGGTGACAGGCACGGGGCCAAACTTCTCCCTGGGGGAGCTGCAGGGCCACCTGGCCTACGACCTGAACCCCTCCAGCACCGGCATGAGGAGGACGCTGCCCAGCACCTCCTCCAGCGGGTAAGTGATGCCAGGGCGATGCTGGGGCAACGCTGGTGTGATACTGGGGCGACAGCAGGACCATGCTGGGGTGCTTGATGGTGCAATGCCCGTCTGATGCCGGTGTGATACTGGGGGGATACTGGTGTGATGCTGGGATGATGCTGGGGTGCTGCCAGTGCAGTGCCGGGGCGATGCCAGGGTTATGGCGGGGCGATGCCAGAGCAATGCTGGGGCGATGTCAGGGGGATGGCAGGGCCAGTCCGAGCAGAGCTGTGGGTCACTGGCTGTCTCGCAGTGGGGGAGGTGGGGGGCGGGCTGGATCCTGCTGCGGGTGGGCACTGACCCCTTCCCTGCCCCCCAGGAGCAAACGGCACAAGTCGGGGTCCATGGAGGACGACATCGACACCAGCCCGGGGGGCGAGTACTACACCTCCTCCAACTCCCCCACCAGCAGCAGCCGCAACTGGACAGAAGACATGGAAGGGGGTAGGTGCCTCCCTATAAGTGCCCTATAGGTGCCCTATAAGTGCCCTCTTACTGGTATAGGGCCCCCCAGCCGGCTCACTGGTTCTCTGCAGACCACTCCTATGAAAGCCCAGGCACTCAGTGTGTGCCGTGGTGTTGCTATAGGGCCCCCCATTAAGCCACGGGCTCTCTATAGGTGCCGTGGTGTTGCTATAGGCCCCCCCCTCATTTAGGCAGGGGCTCTCTCTATAGGTCTTCTCTATAGGACCAGCCCAGCACCCCAGCCCCACGCCAGCTTCTCCCAGCCCCACGGCGGCTGCTGCCACTGGCTTTACGGACAGCTTGCTTTTTTCCTTGGCTTTTTTTTTTCCCTTTCCTGTCTAGACAGCCCCAATTAGCTGTTCATTAAGAAGAGGGGGGGGGGCTGGGCTAATTAAAGCGATGCTGCAGGGCTGGCACAGTGCTCCCACGCCCCGGGGCGCCTTCGCAGGCTGCAGGCAAAGGAACCGCTGGTCTTTCTCCCCGCCTTGGCTCTTCCTGTGCCTCCCCGTGCCCCGAACGGTGGGGCAGGACCCATCCCGGCCCCCCAGCTCTGCCAGAGCTCCAGGGGGTTCCCAGCCCAGGGGCTGGAAGCACCGATCCTGTTGGAAGGAGGCTTGGGGAAAGCAAGTCCTGCCCCAGGATGGTGCCCCACATGGCAAGGGGACTGTGCCCCATCCTGCCCCCCACCCAGTTCCATGGGGCCAGGGCTGCTGGGGGGCAGGAAGGTCCCAAAGGGGAGGTGTACCCCCTCCCCGAAGCCTTGCACGCTGGTGTGCGTGGCAGGAGGGAGCCTTGCAGGGATGTCCCTGTCCCCTGCCGGTGGCCTGATCCAGGGCAGGGGCGAGGGCAGGGGGGGCAGCAGGGGGGTTACAGCAATCCCGTACGGGATGTTCTGGGAAATCCTCCTAACCCCCGGCTGAGAAGGGGCTAAACCCATTACCGGGCCTGGGCCAAATGGCCACAGCTAAAGCCATGGTGGCGGCGGGGGATTAACGCACCCGCTGCCCCCTCCCGCTTGACCCTGCGCCCTGGGGTGGCCCTCAGGGACCCGGGCGTCTGGCATTGCCAGGGCTCCTGGGGGCTGCGGGTCCCTGGAGGGGTGTCCCACCCCCTACGCGGGCACCCTTCTGCCTTTCCCAGAGCTCCTTCTGCTGGTGGGAGGTGGCCCCCAGCCGTGGGGTCCCAGGGGAGGAGGGGTCTCAGTGGGGGCACCCACTGGTGCTCCTGGGGTGGGCACACGTGCACGCGCAGCATCTGCATGCACATACATGAGAACACAGGCACACACGCACTGCAGCTGATGCCCGTGCATGAACGCACGACTGCACACACGTGTGCATGTCCACGCACTCACACGGGTGTGCAGTCATGCTGGTGCACACACGTGCACACACACGCACACAGGTGTGTGCACACCCATATGCTGGTGCACGCACACATGCACACCTGCAGTGCACCCCGAGAGGTACCATCCTCCTGCCCACACACACGCGTGTGCCTGCACACCCACGTCACACCCATTCATCCTCCCTGTGCCCAGCTGTCCCCAGGGTGCCCCAGGAAGGAGCACCCCAACCCCAGGCCAGGGTGGCAGCACCCCCAGGACTTTGGGGTCCTATGGCAGTTGCCGGGGTGTGACGCTGCGCCCCGCTTTCCCCAGGCATCTCCCCCACCGTGAAGAAGACGGAGATGGACAAGTCCCCCTTCAACAGCCCATCGCCCCAGGACTCCTCGCCCCGGCTGAGCAGCTTCACACAGCACCACCGTCCCGTCATCGCGGTGCACAGCGGTGAGTGTCCCGGGGGGGAAACCGAGGCACAGGGTGGGCGAGTGGAAGGGGAAAGGGGGACAAGGGCGAGCGCACAGCGAGGCTGTGGGTCACCCCTTCCGCTCTCGCCCGCAGGTATCGCTCGAAGCCCGCACCCGTCGTCTGCGCTGCATTTCCCCACCACCTCCATCCTCCCCCAGACGGCCTCCACCTACTTCCCCCACACGGCCATTCGGTACCCGCCTCATCTCAACCCGCAGGACCCGCTGAAAGATCTCGTCTCGCTGGCCTGCGACCCGTCCAACCAGCAGCCCGGACCGGTAAGGATGCGGCCCCATCCTCACATCCCATCACTGACCTTGCCGTGGGGCGCTGGGGGGCTGCTGCCGGCCGGGCTGCCAGGAGGGCATCCCCTGCATCGTCTGCTGTCACCGCCGTCGTTGCCGCCGCACGTGAAGTGGTTGGGGTGCTCCGATGCCACCCCGGTGCCAGTGCCCAGCCCGGTAGGGTGTTCTTACCGCTGCGGAGGGGACTGAGCGGCTCTGGCCGGTGCCGTGCCTTGGTTGGGGAGCGCCGCTGCACCTGGGCAGGGTTGGCACCTCATTTCTCTGGCAATGGAGGTGGTGGCCCCTGGCACCGGGACCTGCCTCGTAGCGGGGACAGGACGGTGGGTGCCAGGGGCTGAGCCGTCAGCCGGGGCGGGGGGTTGTGCGATGGGAGCGGGGTGTCCGGCAGGGGATGTGTGACTGTCGCCACGATGGACGCCGGCGTGCCCGGGTGAGCGATGGGCTCGGCGTGCCCCGTGCGCCCGTGCAGGCAGCTGGTGACCCGTCAGCCCCACCACTGCGCCGTGTCCCCCGGCGTCCCCACAGGGGTGGCACGGCCACACTGTGCTGCTGTGTGCCTGCCCTCGCCCCAGCACCCCACACACCCAGCAACTCATGCACCCCGCACACCCAGCACCCCACACACCCAGCAACTCATGCACCCCACGCACCCAGCAACCCGTGCACCCCACACATCATGCACCCGGCACCCCACACAGAGCAACCCATGCACCCCACACACCCAGCAACCCATTCACACCAGCACCTAGCACCCCACATCCCATGCACCCCAGCACCTCATATCCCCTACACTCGGCAGCCTGTGCAGCCCAGCACCCCACACCCCATGCACCCAGCACCCCACACACCCAGCAACTCATGCACCCCACACACCCAGCAACTCACGCACCCCACACCCCATGCACCCGGCACCCCACACAGAGCAACCCATGCACCCCACACACACAGCACCCCACACAGCCAGCAACCTGTGCACGCCAGCACCTAGCACCCCACACCCCATGCACCCAGCACCCCACACACCCAGCAACCATTGCACCCACCACCCCATGCACCCACTATCCAGCACCCCACATGCCCAGCATCCCACACACCCAGAACCTGTGCACCCCCCCAGCAACCATTGCACCCACCCCCCCATGCACCCACTATCCAGCACCCCACATGCCCAGCATCCCACACACCCAGAACCTGTGCACCCACCATCCCATGCACCCACTATCCAGCATCCCATACGCCCAGCACCCCACATATTCAGCACCCCACACACCCTGCAACCCATGCACCCACCACCCCATGCACCCACTATCCAGCACCCCACATGCCCAGCATCCCACATGTCTAGCACCCCACACGCCCAGCACCCCATGCACCCACCACCCCACTATCCAGCACCCCATACGCCCGGCACCCCACACACGCAGCACCCCACACACCCAACAACCCATGCACCCATCACCCCATGCACCCACTATCCAGCACGCCATACGCCGGCACCCCACACACGCAGCACCCCACACACCCAACAACCCATGCACCCATCACCCCATGCACCCACTATCCAGCACCCCACACACGCAGCACCCCACACAACCATCACCCTGTGCACTCAGCATCCCATACACCCAGCACCCCACACAACCACCCCCCTGGGCTCCCTTCGTGCCCAAAGCTGGGGGCCAGGAGTAGCCACATTCCCCCTCCTGTGCCCTGTGCCCTGCTCCACTCCCTGGACGCAGCGGGTCTCGGGGACCCCTCTGAGCTCTGCCTGGCACCCGCCTGCTGCCCCTCACCGGCGAGGCCTGATGCCACCGCGGCTCTTCCCCGACACAGCGGCTCAGTGCCAGGCTGGGGGGGGCCAATTTGGAGCAGCCCCCCCACCAGGTCAGGCTCAGGGATCAGAGGCAGGAACCTTTGAAGGCCGGCACCGTGGGGTTCCCCTTCCCCGCAGGTGAGCGCTTCAAAGGCCTCCCGCTGCCGCGGAGAGGGGGGCACAGCGCGCCGGCTCCGGCACACACCGCCATGGGGCACGGCCCCCCCCTCGGTTCCCTCCCAACCCCCCTGCACCGCCGTGATTTCCCTTTCGCCAGCGCCGACCGTTCAGGGCTGCTCTGAGACCCATCAAACTCGTGTCAGCGGTGAGGGATGCTGCGTGCCCGTGCCGGGCGGCACCGGGGGCTCACCGGGCCGGCTTTGCCGGTGCTGCGCGTGCTTCCTAATGGCTTGTGCTGTTTGTTTTTCTGTCTGTGTTGTGTCCCCAGTTAAATGGAAGTGGTCAAGTGAAAGTGCCCAGCCACTACCTGCCCACGCAGATGCTGGCGCCGCCACCTCCCCCCGGCATGCCCCGCTTGGCCGTCTCTCCTGACACCAAATCCACCACGACAACTACCGAGGGAGGGACGACCTCACCGACATCACCCAGTAAGCACCCCGCGGCGCCCACCCCTCTCCCCGGCCCGGCCGGCCTCCTCCTCTCGCAGCCCCCCCTAAAGTCCTCCCCCCAGTCTCGGTGCTGCCGGGGGGATGTTGGCGGAGGTGGCCTCCCCGCAGCCGGGGCGAGGGCGGCAGCCGGCACGCAGTGAGTTTGCTGGGTCTCAGGCAGGTCGGAGCGGGCAAGGTTTGGGCAGGCGGCTGTTGTGTTTCACCTCCCCCCCCTGTGGGTCCCGTGCTGGTCCCGGGGACCGGCCCGAGCCCTGTGTCCCTCTGAGGTGGCCAGGGGAGTGGGAGCGGAGCCACGATGGGGCTCCCCCACACCGACATCCTGCCCAAACCTCCCCCCCCAGCGTGGGCAGGGCTTGCGGGAGAGGCTGTCGCCTCTCCGTGCCTCAGTTTCCCTACTGGCTGGCAGTGGCGGTGCTGCCGGTGACACAGGGACCATCTGGCATGTGTGTGGCACTGGTGGCAGCGTGTCTGGCTGCGCCCCACGGGGCTGCCAGCCCCTGGGCGTCCCTGGCACTGGGGACCCTGCTCTGGCCAGGGGCTCTGAAGAAACGCGGGTGCAAGGACTGCGTGCGCCCTGGGCGGGAGGCGCCCGGGGAGCCTTCGTTAGCAGCGGGGACTGATGAGCTCCTCCCCCCTCAGCTCCACCTCAGGGGGGTTTAGCACCTTGGCCAGGAGGATTTTGGCACCGCAGAGGGGAGATGCCAGCGTCACCCTTGGGCTGGCGTCAGGGTGCGTGCCACGGTGGTGGGACGCTGTGCCACCACCAGGCTCTGCGACAGGGCTGTCCCTGTCCCGTTATTCCCGTGGGACACCCCCTGGTATCCCGAGAGGCTGCCACGTCCCCACAGGGTCGCACGGGGGGCACTGTCCCCGGGGACAGGCTGCAGCCGGGGGGTGCCAGCAGCCGTTGGGTGTCGAGGTTCTGCGGCGTGAAGGATCCAAGCCCGGCTGATGTGGACGGGAGAGCTCGGGGTGGCATGGCCTGGGCGGTGATGGGGACACAGCCACGGCCACAGGGAGGGACTGGGCAGTGCCAGTCCCCCCCCCAGGCTCAGGGAAGGATGCGCACGGGGGCATTGGCTGTCCCCAAGGGGCGCAGAGGCCAGCTGGCTCGGAGCCTCCTGTGCCCCCTGGCAGCACCCTGAGCCCAGGAACTCAGTGGGACCAGGGGTCCCACTGCTGGACCCCCGGCAGGGCTGGAAGTGACAGAGGAGGGGCCGTGCCCATGTGGAGCTGGTGGCTCCCATCGCACTTGCCCTGTGGCAGCTCCACTCGGGAGCCGCAGCGACGGCCCGGGGGGGGAACACCCGTCTGCGCCCGCACCCTGGGGGCACCTCGTCCCCCCACCCGCCGTCACCCCAAAGCTGCCCCTGCCACAGGGCGCAGACACGGGCGGCACCACCCCGGGCGCAGCATCCCCGGCCTCTGCTCACCCGCCGCCGGGGCACAGCCAGGAATGTCACCTGGCCACCAGCTCCGGGTGCCCGGGATGCCCGTCCCAGCAGCACCAGGGAGCGGGCCAGGCTTGGCCCCGGGGGGACGATGGCGGTGCCACCGGCAGCCCCGTTAACGAGCTCTCGTTTGTTCCCCAGCCTACTCTGCACCAGGCACGCCCCCTGCGAACCGTTCCTTCGTGGGATTAGGACCAAGGGATCCTGGGAGTATCTATCAGGCACAGGTGAGAGCGGGGATGCTGCTGGGGGGACCCTCCTGCCCTCGCCCCGGGCACCGCCGCCGTGGGCATTGCCGCCGTGGGCATGGCCGATGCGGGCATCGCCATCCCGGGTATCGCTGCCGTGGCGCTGCTGACAGGGGCATCCCCACCATGGCATCGCTGCCGTGGTATTGCCACTGTGGGAATTGCCGCTGTGGCCGTTGCCACCACGGGCGTCACCACCGTGACGTCACTGCCGTGGGTATCTGTGCCGTGGCATTGCTGCAGTGGGATCACTGCCATGGTTATTGCTACCATGGGCATAGCTACTGTGGGCATTGCCACCGTGGCATCACTGCCGTGGCCATTGCCACTGTGGGAATTGCCACTGTGGGCATTGCCAGCGTGGGCATCACCACCATGGCATCGCTGCCCTGGCATTGCCACTGCAGGCATTAGTGCTGTGGGCATCACTGCCTTGACATTGCCACTGTGGGCATTGCCGCCACAGGCACCGCTGCCCTGGCACTGCCACCACAGGCATTGCTGCCCTGGCATCCCCACCTTGGGCATCGCCAACCGGCACCCTGTGCCGGGCCCTCGGGCGCTGGGTCCCCCGGGGCAGAGGGGGGTCACTGCCGTGCCCTGCCTGGCACCGCAGCGCAGCCGGGCTGCCCAGGTGCCCACAGCATCCCCTGCTCTCGCCCAACTGTGCCCACCGGCCGCTCCAGACGCAGCGGGATGTGCCATGCGCCTTTCCAGGGCCTTTTCCTTAGTCCTGGGTGTTTTTTTAACTGGTATTTTGTGAGCTGGCGCCAGCGCCGTGGGCAGTGCCACGGGGCCAGGCCAGGAGTCCCAACACCTTGCCTCACTTGTGATACGAGTTGGCCGGCCTCAGCGGCCCCAGCAGGGGCAGCTCCAGGAGGCTGCAGCCCTGCCTGGGGGGTGACGCCGGGGCAGTGGGATGGGTGTGTGGATGGCGCCGTGCCAGGGGCACTCTTGGGTGCTGTGCCCACTGGAGGCAAGTACTCGGGGCACTAAGCTGTGCCGTGGGGCACCCAGGGGTGCTGTGCCAGGGTGCAAGCGCTTGGGGACCATGAGCTGTGCCATGGGGCACCCAAGGGTGCTGCGCTGTGCCTGGGTGTGAGCACTTGGGGACCATGGGCACCCAAGGGTGCTGTGCCGTAACGGGGGACAAACACTGGGGGCCTGGCTTTGACACAGCCCTGCCTCAGTTTCCCCAGCCCTACACGTGGGCAGAGCATGGTGGGGTGGGCACCCCGAGGCCTTTGGGTCCCTAAAGAGGAGATGTGGGGCAGCGCCGGGAGAACCCCAGGGGAGCAGGGTACCCGGGTCCCTGCGCCCCCAGCCCCCGGGGGTCACAGCTGCTGCAGTCCCTGGTGTCCCTGTCCCTGTGCGTGTGTGTCCAGTCACGCTCCGGGAGCCTCCGCAGGGCTCAGGGATGCTTTGCATGGGGAAAGTCGTGTGTCCCTGGGAGGGGTGTCTGAGACCTGCTGCTCTCGGGTCATGTGTGGTGGGGCTGGGAAGGGTTAAGGGAAGCGGCGGCCCCGAGCTGTCTCGTTGCCAACGGAAACCAGACATGAGGTAATCAGGGACGAACTTGAACTTGGGGCTTGGGGGGGGGGGGGGGGGGGGGGGGGGGGGGGGGGGGGGGGGGGGGGGGGGGGGGGGGGGGGGGGGGGGGGGGGGGGGGGGGGGGGGGGGGGGGGGGGGGGGGGGGGGGGGGGGGGGGGGGGGGGGGGGGGGGGGGGGGGGGGGGGGGGGGGGGGGGGGGGGGGGGGGGGGGGGGGGGGGGGGGGGGGGGGGGGGGGGGGGGGGGGGGGGGGGGGGGGGGGGGGGGGGGGGGGGGGGGGGGGGGGGGGGGGGGGGGGGGGGGGGGGGGGGGGG